AACTACGATGAGGCAAAAGACTTAGTAGGCAACGTGACTGCTTTCAGGATACAACAAGGGCGGCGAAACTCTTACTTGTTTTTGTTTCTGTTTTTTTGAACATTAATGGGAAAGACCGATTAAGAGGAAACAAAAGCAAAAAGGGAAAAAAAAATAAAATAAAATAATTAAAGGCAAAAACAAAAAGGCCAAAGCAAACGGGAAGAAATAAGCAATACAAAGATCAAAGCTACAGCAACATCAAGAACAAGAACAACGACGACGACGAAGACGGCAACAAACACACACAAAAAGAACACCCGGCTGATAAAGACAAAAGCTGCTTACGATCCTTCAATTGATATTCGTTTGCCCTGCTTATCAAGCCCCAGCAGCTCTGAGGCCACAAGTGCTACGAACAGATTTCTGATGATGCTTACCTGCAAGTCGGCAAGCCTGGCTGGTCAGGTTGCTGAGTTTCAACAGCAGGTCTTCGAAGTCAGCCGCCACCACAACATCCTCGTCACTCTCCGTGACCAGTCGAAGTTCTTCTCTGTCCACACCCTTGCCAATACCTACGGCTAGAACACGAACTCCTGCCTGTCTCAATGGTTCGGAAGCCTCTTTTAGGCCTTTTGCGTCGGCTGCTGCGGTTTGGGTACCGTCTGTTATCAGCATTGCAATCTTGGGCACGCCCGACCTACTTTGAGCGAAGATATCCCTGGCTGTTAGGTCCAGTGCTTTGTCGATTCGTGTCAATCCTCTCTCGTAAGGCAGACTGTCTACAGCTCCATCGAACTCCTTCGGGTCCGTATACTGGCCAAATCGAGCTTTCACTGAGGCCGAGTTACTGTACAGAACCATGGCCGCTCGGCTGCCGTTTGGAGATAGGCCAAAAGTCTTCGCCACTTCCTTGACAAAGTTCTTCTGTTTCTTGTAGTTTGTGCGGCCAATGCTGCCCGAAGAATCGATGATAAATGCCAGATCCACGGGAGTGCTACACGGCGGTGGTGCTAAGGAGAAAGAAAGGCGTAATTGTCTTACGGCATTGAAATTCAATTTCTGTCTGTTTTGGTTATCATTTGCTTATCGATTAGTATGTCTTTTGAGGGTGCCTCAGTTATGCAGAGTCTTTTTTTGACATGTTCACTTTGATTGAAGAGGGATGATGTAGTTTCTGCGAGCGCTAACTGGCCGAACAAGGGAAACAGTGTGAAGGCAGCTGCGTCACAACGTGAGGTATTAAAGGGAGCTTTACTCGATTTGTGTTGTGTTAATTCAGTTCCAATGATAATGTACGTGAATTTGGTTTGAAATGATCAGACTGTTTCGAATGATTAGGGAGATTAAAGTGTCTAGCGAGTGGTTTGGATGCGTCCTTCTCATTTCTTTCCACGTCGCGAAGGTGTTCTCGGAATCGGTCAGCTAGTCGTCTTCCTGTTTCGCCAATGTATAACTTATTGCAATAAGTGCAAGTTATGCAGTAAATATCATTGGCGGAGGTACACGTAAATTGATCAGTGATCTTAATGGATCTATTGGGTCCCGATATTTTCTCTGCACATTGCCTCTGATTTTTCGGAAAAATCAGAGTCGTCACTACATAAACGACGAAGTCTGAGAAACTGTGAAAAAGGTATGGAGTTCTTGACGTGTGATGGATGTGAAGATGAATACAACAAGTAACTATGTGAATCTGTAGGTTTCTAGTAAACACTAGTGCATAAACCGTTGCCTTCAATTGAAATTTTGATGTCTAGAAAAGCCGAGTTTCAGAGCTTTCATTCGAAACAGCATATGGCAGTTTGCGGCCTTTCCTTACATCTAGGCAGTTCGGAAAGCCGCAAAACACTAGAACAAAAATTTATCTTCCAAATCGGCACCCTCAATCCCCACCGAATCAACGAGCGCTTTTCATTCAACTAATTTATTCCTGTTTTCTCGTCAACATATTCCCACCAATAGCGTAGCTCCACTTTCTGCATATAAACCCACATATAAACATATTCCCACCAATATTCAACATATTCCCACCAATAGCGTAGCTCCACTTTCTGCATATAAACCCACACACAACCCACAATTCCTCCAATCGCTCTGACGAAGGGCTAACGCTCGAAACGTCAGCTTTTTTACCCTTTACGGTGGCCAATTTACGTTTTCAACTCAGTTGTTCACACTAAATTACCTAGTAGAGTTATATTGCCTGGCACTATTTGGAAACGTGAAATGCAACTAACAGAGATTAACAGCACTTACCAGCAGCAGAGCACGTGGTCTTTGCCACTTGAACAGAATCCTTCAGCAGAGTTATAAATGAATCCTTAATGACGAGATCATCGTCTTTTTCAACAAGTTTTCGTAAGGATTCGCGTTTTATTTCTGTGCCAATCCCCAAAAGTAACACGCGGATACCTGCCTTCCTCAACGACAACACAGAATCCTGCCATTGTCCATTATCATTCTCTCTCCCATCAATGACGACCACTGCGATTTTTGCCACCCCCTTTCTTGCCTTTGGAAACACCCTCTTCTCTGCAAGTTTCAGTGCCAGACGGATATCACCTCGTTTATCTTTATATGTTAAGGAGGATAG